CGAGCAGATCGAGGGACGTGATCGTCCCCCTCTATTCGACATTGGTGAGGCCTCATCTGGAGTACTGTGTCCAGTTTTGGGCCCCACACTTCAAGAAGGATGTGGATAAATTGGAGAGAGTCCAGCGAAGGGCAACAAAAATGATTAGGGGTCTAGAACACATGAGTTATGAGGAGAGGCTGAGGGAGCTGGGATTGTTTAGCCTGCAGAAGAGAAGAATGAGGGGGGATTTGATAGCTGCTTTCAACTACCTGAAAGGGGGTTCCAAAGAGGATGGCTCTAGACTGTTCTCAATGGTAGCAGATGACAGAACGAGGAGTAATGGTCTCAAGTTGCAGTGGGGGAGGTTTAGATTGGATATTAGGAAAAACTTTTTCACTAAGAGGGTGGTGAAACACTGGAATGCGTTACCTAGGGAGGTGGTAGAATCTCCTTCCTTAGAGGTTTTTAAGGTCAGACTTGACAAAGCCCTGGCTGGGATGATTTAACTGGGAATTGGTCCTGCTTCGAGCAGGGGGTTGGACTAGATGACCTTCTGGGGTCCCTTCCAACCCTGATATTCTATGATTCTAAGAGTCCTCACAAGAACCTGGATTAGATCTGGCAGTTGCAGCCACTATCTCCCTGCTGGTAGCAAGAGAGAACCAAAAACTACCTTTAGGAGAGCAGAACCAGCAGCAGGATACAGCTATTAGCTACCAGACACATCCAGGAGGTAAATCAAGATGGTGGGAAGCTGGGCAGGTGGTGGTATTGAGGTTAAGCAGACATGAGGGGATGGAGAAAGATATAAGAACAATGCAGTAAAGTGGGAGGACATTAAATGGTTTTATATATAAACAAAACTTGTGCATTCTTTAGATTTCTGTTACTTAGCTACACAAAGAAATACAAGACCTTATTTTATAAAATCTTAATGGGTTTCAGTAAATGCTGCTGTTCAAAGGGTAATGGAGTAGAGGAGAAGGTAATGTAGAATTGTTAGGAACTTAATTACCAGCATGATGACAAATCAGATTTCTAAACTGAACATAATCCAATGGCTGGAAGGTGAAGCTATACAAATTCAGAATGGACACAAGGTATACATTTTTGATTAGTCCAATGGTTAATCTATTCACCAAGGATCATTGAAGGATTCTCCATCACTGACAATTTTTAAAGAAAGAAGGGATGTTTTTCTAAAAGATCTGCTCTAAGAATTATTTTGGGGATGTTCTTAGGCCTGTGTTACACAGGAGGCCAGACTAGATGATCACAGTATTCTCTTCAGGCTTTGGACTCTATGAATAATACAATAAACACAATTTCTCTGTTGGATTTAAAATCTGGGAAGATGACTGGTTAATTTTTAAGTGGAAGTCCCTCAAACATTGGTGCATTCTTATGCTAATTAATTCTAATAGTCAACTCCTAACACCCATGTAAAAATGATGTATTAGAATTAATTAGCATAAGAATGCATCAATGTTTGAGGGACTTCCACTTAAAATTAACCAGTCATCTTCCCAGATTTTAAATGAGCTATTATCAGCAGGTTCCTGGGTTAGGGTTTTTCCCAAGATGTGTGAGAGTGAGGGATCATTTTTCAGGATAGGTTGTAGATCTTTGATGATGTGCTGGAGAGGTTTTAGTTGGGGGCTGAAGGTGACAGACCAGATCTTGGGAGACAGACCAGTCCTCACTTACAGACAGCCCCCTACCCTGAAGCAAATACTCTCCAGCAACCACACCACACAATAAAAACACTAACCCAGGAACCTATCCTTGCAACAAAGCCTAATGCCAACTCTGTCCACATATTTATTCAAGTGACATCATCATAGGACCTAATCACATTGGCTATGCTATCAGAGGCTTGTTCACCTGCACATCTACCAATGTGATATATGCCATCATGTACCAGCAATACCCCTCTGCTATGTACATTGACCAAACCAGACAGTCTCTATGCAAAAGAATAAATAGATACAAATCTGACATCAGGAATCATAACATTCAAAAACCGGTAGGAGAACACTCCAACCTCTCTGGCCACTCAGTAACAGACTTAAAGGTGGCAATTTTGCAACAGAAAAGCTTCAAAAACAGACCCCAACGAGAAACTGCTGAGCTTGAATTAATATGCAAACTAGATACCATTAACTTGGGTTTGAATAGAGACTGGGAGTGGCTGGGTCATTACACAGATTCAGTCTATTTCCCCATGTTAAGTAGCCTCACACCTTCTTGTCAACTGTCTAAATGGGTCATCTTGATTATCACTACAAAAGTTTTTTTCTCCTGCTGATAATAGCTCATCTTAATTAATTAGCCTCTTACTCCACCTTTTCATGTTCTCTGTATGCGTGTGTGTATATATATCTTCTTACTATATGTTCCATTCTATGCATCCGATGAAGTGAGCTGTAGCCTACGAAAGCTTATGCTCTAATAAATTTGTTGGTCTCTAAGGTGCCACAAGTACTCCTGTTCTTTTTAAGCATTAGTTTCAAATTACCCATACAAAGATCTAATACTTCCAAGGCAGTGTGAGTAATTGACCTTACAATGAGATTCCAAAATCTTAATTAGGAACATTAATTTGACTAGTTCAAATCTTCTCCATACCTTGAGCAGAATTTCTTATACAAAAATAAGCACAATGTATCTACTCTGCCATAATTGTTTGTCATATAGATGTACTTCCTGTTGAAAACAGACATGAAGTGATTGCTGTCTTAGATGTGATTTAAGAAGTGATAAGATTTGATATGCAATAGATTAAAAATTGGGTGGTAACCTAGGGCAAAAGAGACTGGCAAACTTTACAACCAATTTTATTTCTTTACAAGTCTTCCATTTTGATTCTTATAGGATGCTTTTTGGACATATCATATGCAGCTATAATTTTAGTTTTGACCATTGTTTCTTATAACACTTCACTTTTTCTTAATTCCTTTATTTCTAGGTGTATCCTGCTTGGTTTCTGATAGCTGTAAACAATTAATTGTATGCACCCTGATTAGTATTTAAGTTTGTGGTTAAAATAGATATTAGCTTGATTCGTAGCAACAAAGGGTCTCTTTCTTGCATACTCTAAATAGTAGTTTCTCAAATTCACTTTAATGTAGAACTCATTTTAGTAGGGAGTTATGTAGTCTAATTGCTTAGTTTCATAATTACTGTCTCAAATTATATAGTAATATACAAAAGAATTTGTAGTGTCTACTCATTTATTCAGCTTACATAAAAGAATGGAAGCAACTGAAAGAGGAAGTCCTCTGTTCTTTCAGACCAGACCAGCATAAGAGACAAAATGGGCGAACAAGCAAAAAGATCCTCTTTTCATCCATACAACGGTAAGTTTAGGCAGCAGCTGCATTTACATTTCCTCTGATGGATCTCTTTCAGGCTAAAAGGAGGGATCACTTTCTGTAGTGAGATAACTGGAAACAGTAGAAGTCACCCCTTAAGGTAATAAGCTGCATGGCAAGGCCTGATCAGAAGCTAAACTGTGTGGGCTGATGGCTTCCCGACTGCAAATGCAGCAACTGGGGCTGGTTTGGCAAGCTGTGGGTGTGTATTAGACAGAGAAAGCTGCCACTGAGAGAAACTGTTATAAGCATGCCCGTGAGGGGAAGCAGAGACTCAGATCCTCAAAGGTACTCTAGTGACCTAACTCTTAAGGCACCTAGATCTACTGTTTAGCCTCACTGACATTCTCAAAGCTGCCACTCAGCTGCTACCTAACACCATAGGTCATGTTTCTGCCAGTTGGCATTCACAAAGCTGCCTAAACATTGATGCCATCTCACAGTTAATGAGCTGCTCAGAGCCTTAGCACATGCCAGAGTCCCAGAGGTCCCAAAGTGACATTCTCACACAAAGCAGGGTCTATCTTGCCAGCCAGGCCTGATCCTGTACATTTACCCTGAGCAAATCTAGGACCTGATACCTGTTGGACGCTGCTGCAGGCCACCAAGAGGTTGGGGCAGGGGGAGCAGAACACAGCACTCTCAAAAAGGTAGTCAGAAGCACAGGGAAAAATAGGGAGAGAGAAAAAAAGTTATTAAATATGAGCAAGGGGAAGGGAGTATTCAGCTGCTAGGGCACGGACTACCTAGGCAGGTGACCTGGCTTATGTGCCTTACTCCAGCTGAAGATGGATGCCTGGGCATCCTGACTGGAGGGAGGCACCCCTCTGGCCTATCAATGAGGCACACCAGGTCAGGCGCCTAAGCCACTCTCCTCTCCCCAGTTGTCTCCACACCCCTTTCCTCAGCTTTTCACTCCTGGCTACTGTAGGCAGCTTCCTGCTGAGCTTGCTGTTTTCTAAGGATCCTTTTCTTAGGCACTTAGCTCTCCCCATGCAGTGTGTGGGGAGCCTGGCTCTCTGCCTTGGGCTTGAGGATTCCACCAGGCAGCAGGCTACCCAGAGGTTACGTGCTGTAATGCTGAGCAAGCACCATTAGTATTACTCCTAGATTTGATAATCTCATCAAGGATATTAAAAATACTCAGTTGCAAATTAATGACTCAAATACACTTGCTCAAGAGAGGCATGGTCTGAGCACTGGAAGCCAAGAATTAAACATTCTAATCTGGTTTAACCCTCCTCATATGGTTTTGGGCAAGTCACTTTAGCTCGGACATAGTTTCTATATACATTGGGGGATAGGATACATTCCCATTCCCCACAAGGAGGGGGTAAGGCTTCTTAAAAATCGTCTGCAGTTGAGAAGTGCTATTTTATTGATACTACTATTGAATACTCCAAAATGTGCTGTTCTGACGCCACGGTGTTTACAAGAGGAGTAGATAAAGTGAAACCTGTTTGTGCCTTTCTGTTACAATAGATGTCCAAAGAATCTCTCTTGCCTATGTAGTAACTAGATCAGATATTGCCATACTATCAAAGTGAGTGTCCTACACATCTCAAAAAACATTCACACATTAGGAGATATTCAAGTGATACATAAAGTGTTGCAGATGCATGAAAGCAATTTTACAAAAGAAAAAAAGGTTTCCAGACATTTATTTCTGGAACTGTACACCAGGTATTAAAGTACAACAAATACAAAATAATGCTCAAAAAAATCAGTGTTTATGTACAAATATTAAAACCAATGCAACAATAGCGACTTCCTCTTGAACATCTGATATTAAAACTTGTTCCGATTGTCACTGGTTTAGGTCATTATACACAGGGTGCTTATTTCAAACTGGGAAAGGCTGGAATCACTGGTGGCGTAATGGGCCATAATCAGAACTATACTATTTTAAACAATAATCGGTAATTTCCTTCTTTAAGTGAAAAACATTAAAAAAATAGTAACCTTGTCATTTTATAAATTACTGTATTTAGTTTCCCCTTTGTAGATAATGTGCTTGTAACTCTGGGCAAAGTGTGTCCCTGTTGGTCAGTTTATCCATTAGTTTACATTCAAAGTTGAAATATTCACTAGAGACTTTGGTTAAATTACGTAGTAATACTATGTTCTACTGGATCTGAAGTTTTCACACATTTTTGACCCTCAGTTTTAAAAATTAAAAACAGGAAACAATTGCACAATTCATTGACCTAATTGTACACAATTTAGTATTCTGCAAACAGTAATGTACATCCTTCAAGTAAATTCAGCAGTTTGACCATGACAAGAGGAAAACTAAACATTTAAAAATCTAGCATGAGAAGATGACATGACTAACAAAAGAAAAAGTATTGCTATAATCACAGCACCAGTTACACTTCTAAATGAATCAGCTATCCTCTTCAGATTCCCTGTACAGAAAAGATACATCTACCAACACTGCAATTGCCCATTATGGATTTTTGGTTTGTTCATATGAAGAAAAAAAAACACATGGCAAAGGACAAAGAATTCATCACAGTTTGTTACAAGAATTGTGCTTCACCATCCAAGAATCAAGGCAATATAATTTCTTCATGTGGTTGCAATTCAGTTATCTTCATGCTGACCCTTAAAAACGCAATTCTTTTAATAAACAGTAACAAGTTCTCCATTTAAATGTTTAAACTGAGAGAAAAATAGGTAAGTCCAGCTTTTAAAAGAAAAATTCAATAAATAGCTATTTTACAAGGATAAAGTCATAGTGGTACAAATTTATGAATGTCACATCAAGCATGCACAAAAATGTTACTATACACAAGTAGTCAGAAAATACTGAAATAGATATCTAAAAAGATATGCAGAATGTACATATTTACAAATCTTGCAAATTATTGCCTCATTTTAACAAGGAATTAAAAGTAAATGTTACCAGCTAGCTAGCCAAGAGGCTAAATAAGATTAGAATTTAAAAATCTATTAAACTAGCTGGAAATCATTTTTCTCTCATATCATTTTCTGAATTTTGGTCAAAAGTCTTTATTAAATAACTAAAGTGTCCATTCAACTTGCTGACAATCCAAACTTTAGACAAGTCTCTGTCTATATTAAGATCCCAGCAATGCATAGATAAACTGAATATATTACTGCATCAGCTAATGAGAATGGGCATGTTCATTTAAGTGCAACTGGTATAAGCATTCAGTCATCTTTGTGTAATGATTTTTATACAGACCAGCCACTGTAAACCCATAGTTAAACTTGTATGTATAACAATGAAAAAATATGGCTAGTATTTTACAAAAGTACATAAAATGTGTTGATTCATAAACAAAAGAAACAAGGTACAAAGTTCAGCACAAAACACAGCAACAAGAAGCTGACAACTTGGCTACAAATGTCAGAGTACAACACAGGGCCAAGGCTACCCGTTATTTACTGTGTACTTACTAGAATTACATATTTCAGATTTAAGTTAAAGAATGGATAACAAATTATCACTAACTACTTTTGTCCACTGTGCTAAACTAATTTTTATGGTAAATGTGCTATTGCGTAAACAGTTCAAAGCAATCTTCATTACAATGCTGTAAAGAAAACTCGGGGGTACGCTGCATCCAAAACTCAGGATGTCAATGCAGTTCACAGTATATATAATAAATACCCTCGTCCCTTTCAAATACTACCCAAAGTCTCTACTACTATATTACTCAGCATAACCTTGAAGCAATTACTACAAATATTACCAATGCAGTCAAACTTAAGCATTAAAAAAAATGCAAGCAAATTAGTGGCAATTAAATCTGCATTACAGACAGTGCAAAGAAAAGTCTGGGTGCGTGTGGGAAAGCCTACTGCAATTCAATTGTACTGGGATAAACTTCAGAATCTCGTAAACAAAAAATGAAAAAAGCACAAACCTGAAAGTCGTATGCTCTGGAAGCATATCACATACCAATACTATGTTTTGTCGGAATCTGTAACACAACTTAAATAAAAGGGTATTAAATGGAATCATTTATGGTCACCCAAAATTTCATCTGAATATTCACCAAAAAATTGATTGGAATAAACAATTATTTTGAGTATGAGATGCACTTGTACTTCTGTCAATCCCCATTGAGAAAAGTACTGAAATGCCATTTTGAGACAAATGACTTGCCAAAAGAAATAAACGTAATCCATGCTAAAGAAAATTTTCAAATGTATACTTCAAGGTTGTACTGCACTATATAAAAATCTAGATAGTCTCTCAAATGAACTGCAGTGCTCCAAACAATTTAAGGTGTGTCCCAAATAGAAACCATTTAGTGGTCAATCCTAAACTGTGCAGACTGTGGCTTTATACATCAGCTGCCTTAGAAAAAAGTTGATACACAATAACTGGTGTTATTTATTACATTACATTCTTCAAAGTTGTGGACAAAACCCCATCAGAATACAATATTCTAAAATGCATTTGTTTAGCCAATAAGTTTAAGTACACAGAAACCTTCTGGCAGTTAACTACTTCTGTGTAAGGTAGCCATGGCCTATATTTTTGCAACAGCATCTAAGTGTATGTCTTCACACTTTGCTCATACAGTCCCTTGTGCTCGCTTCCACCAAGATGAACTCGCTGTTTTGTAAACCGAAGTGCCCTAGTTTAGTATCACATGAGAGAAGGTTCCATTAAAAAACATCCTTGTTTGTGCAGTTTAAATTAAAGAAACCCATCCCTGCCTTATAAAAAAAATAAAATGCTACATTGAGCAGGAATCAGGATCTGTACCTGTAAACATTGTTATTCCACTGCATCTGTTACGGCAAAAGCCACTCCAATCAGTTCACAACTTCTGTGCTGGTTTTGAGATGGTGACCTCTGTCTACAGGCTTTAAAAAAAATTGAAGCAGAGCTTAAAGCTGCACCAGAGTTCTCTTAATCCCAAACTCTGCCGAACATCATTGACATTTCCACACGTATGGATTGAAAAATGAAATTATTCTTGATAAATCAAGATATAGTTCTATACATACAAAGACATCACTGATGTCATAAAGTTCAAACTTCCAGTGAAAGACTAAGCAAACCTGACAGTTCTCATCAAGTCTGCTGCTGCATTAAGTACCCACTGTTTTTGTAGTTCACCACTGGAATCATTCTGAGTGAAGGGCAGTATGTTGGTGTAGAGTGTGGGCACTAATGAAACCGTTTGTCTCATTTGCAGATAGACTGCTGAAGTCAGCCACTGAGACAGCCATTTTGGCACTGGTAATATGATGTGTGTGGTTCTCAAAGTCCACACCCAAGTTATTTACAGAAACATCATTCATAAAGGATTCAGGGACCGCAATCCCCATTTTTAATCTCTTGGCAGGTCTCTCTGACTCTTCACTGCACATGTTCATTGGGTTTAACTCCGAGTGATAAAATCCAGTCTCAAATAAATTAAAACAATCATTTTCACCATTATTAGGCAAGGTAAGCAACTCTTCTGTTACAACAGGCACATGATTAACTGGTGCTCGGGGTAAGCTGTCCAGAGGAGAAAAGGCATCTTCCAAGCAGTTCACATCTGTAGAGTGGCAGACTGTAGCTACACTATTGGTCAATGCTGAAAAAAAATGAATACACAATTTAAATAAAAATAGACTTTCTTGAGGTACAGTTACAACAGAAAACGGTCTTTTAAACCTTCAATATTGATTTTTCTTGATTTACCTGTCAAGTCATTGGCAGTGATAGAGTTCAGAATGCTTAGCTGTTGATCAGGAATGGGCTCTGTTCTGCTGTTAGAAGTTAAGGCTGAAGAATGTACTGCTCCACCAAGGGCTTCTGCTTCATCTACCAACCGATCCATATAGTCCCTAGAAAGACATCCTTATATTAGAAACAGGTGTGTGACTAGGAGATGGATTTTATTTCTTTTATCCAACATCACTGCAGCATTTCACCACCCTGATGAAAGTTGGAAAAACCTCTAGATGCAAAACTGACAACAGAAAGGATATATTTCAAGCACTCTGTACTTACGTTACCCCTGGATGATGGTTGTACCTCTTCTTTCCAAACCTTGTTTGCTGAGCAAAGTAATCATAACGTTCTGATTTCTTCCACATGTAGTAGAATGCTACACATTCAGCAACTGTTCTAGTTCTCACCTAAAACGGGGCAGGAAGAATTAACATGCTTGTTTATAAAAAAAAAGGGGGGGGAGGGGTGAAGGGGGCAGGTTTGTAGTACTCTCCATCTTTCCCATTCTCGTACATTCTCTTTAGTTAGACTATTCCCATAGCAAGAGCAAGTTACATTTTTGATTAAGAGAGTCTTCTAATAATACAAATTTGGAAAAAGTACTTATTTTATATCCACTTGATAAGACAATTTAATTTCTGTCCTGGACACTCACTCAGTCTCAATGTAAAACTTATTTTTTTTAAAAAAAGACTGGATTTTCTGTAGCTGAGCAGACTAATGGCTCAATCTCATTTCATAACTGCACATTTTGACTCTTCATAAATTGTTAAGAAAAAAAGGGAGGAAAGCTAAGAGCAGTATGAAGAGTAATAAGCTAAAAGAGAAAATAAGTAAGGTATAATGGAAACCCTCCTTTTTGTAAGGTTAGTTAGCGGAGACTGCCCAGTCTCCGACACCAGGTGTGTGCAAAACTAGACTATTAAAATGGAAGTAGTCCTCAGAGATGGTCTAGATGATCCAGAAGATCCATTTTATCTCTATTATCCATGAATCTACATGCACTGTGCAATTTGAGGTTTCATATATACTTGTTTCCCTTATACAAAGGAGAAAAAGTTTCTGAGAGTACCAATCCTTAAGTCTATCTAGGCTCTTATTCCATGTATTATTCCTTCCCCTCCATCCCCCTACAGTAGCGTCCATCCTTCCATTTGAGGGGTAGATGGGTCTCCTTGCTGAGTCAGTTTACATCGCCACTCCTTAGCCAAAAGAATTACTGTTGAATGACAATTGCACAGTACTCCACTTTCCTGCCAGCACCTTAGTGGCTGAGCCCTATGGCCTGGTGGCTATGAGATGGATAGGCTAATTAGGATATATTTTATTATTTTGCCTGATCTAGACTCAGAGAATGAATCCACGGCAGTGCAAAGCCAGAGCAGCATAGAGGATAACACAACAAAATTATATTATAAATGCATAAATGAATGCAATGTGAATACAACACTATTTCAGAGACTAATAGGTTGACTGATCTTGAAAATGTTGACTGTTGAATGATGTTTGTGGTAAAGTGAGCATGCAAATCACATATCAGCTATAATACATTGCCGCTTATTTCACTCTAGGCACTGCTTCTGATAAATTAGTTGCTTTTATAGATTTTAAGTGACTAAAATACCTCTCTCCATCCAATTTAAATACATAACACTTACCTTATTTTTCTGTATGAGATGAAAATCTTTCCCGTAAATCAGAAGTGCATGTTCAAAGTTTCTGCATTCTTCTTCTGTCCAAGCTGTCATCTCTTCTAGATGATTCCCAAAATAAGAACAGCAATTATTTTCAGATAATTTCCATCAGATACTGAGTTACAAACATTTGTACTGTAAGATTCATGAAAATCCACATGCACTTTGAAGAGCAACTGCTAAATTCTTTAGACTTTGTCTTATTCTTAACACACTGAAGCCTCTAATTATACTCTGTTAGAAAACTGACTGAATCGGCTAATCATCAACTCTGGATGCACTATTTTGTTCACTGAATGATGAAGGATAGTTACAGAGTTTCATTTATTAATTTTTTTAGTTTATTTATTTTTAGTCATCCAGGTCCAGGTGCACAAAAGAGCTTGGACACCTAACTGCTACTTTAAGTAGCAAAATCCATGATTTAGGCACCACCAAGATCCTCAAAACCCTTGCTTAGCTGCTGCCTGACCACGGAGGCACATAAAATCCTTAGGTGCCAGAGTTTCCACCATTAAAGTTCCTTAGGCACCTAAGTTTCTTTTTAGATCTATGGCAGTTGAAGGAGATTAGCACTATACAGAAGAGGTTTCTGCAGTACCAAGCCCCAAGTGTGCCTTTGCTTTCATCTGTGCATAGGGTGAAAGGGAACTACAGGGAGTGAAAGACCAATCCCTCTGTTATTTGTAGGGATCAGCTCTACTAACTTTTAAGGAAAGCATAAAGTGGAGCTATCCTGTGCTGATGAAATACATTCAGGGTTCGGTACAGGAAAGGGTGGGGCCACATCACAGAGCCAGCTATGGTTTCTTGATTCTCAAGCAGCCTTGACATGAGTTAGAGCAGCCTGTAGTCTGCTCTAACTTAAGATAGCTGGCTCTGATCTCAGAAGTACTATAAACTGCTGAGAAATGCCACAATCTTGCTGTGCTCCACTTCCTCCCTACCCCACCAGAGTAGGGAAGAGTGAAACTGCTGGTGGTGTAGGAACTGGCTCTGCCACCTTTACACCAGCTGTGAACTCCTCCAGTAGAAATTCCCAACTGGCCAGCTACAGTCACGTTACATCCACTTTGTCCCATTCAGGTAGTGAAAAGGGTAATGACCTAAGGCTGAGAACCTGGTCTCCATATTTCTGTACATTATAACTTTGAAGAGAGTCTTAAAGTATTCCATACTATTTCAGAAATCTCTTACCTTGAGATGCCTTTCCGTTTGAGCAATACCTCTCAATTGCTTCTTTTATATTATGGTTACATTTGAGTAGTTCATAGAGTGCCTATGAAATTAAGGAAATATTTTTGTTTAAAACAAGTCATTTAAAGTTTGTAGCTAAGCAGTTTAAGATACTGTGTCTAGCTTCAGTGATCAAATCACATAACAGTCAATTAATTTTTAACTATATAAAATGAAAATTTCATGAACAAAAACAATTTAAACAAAAAGTTACATACCACTTAAAATAAGGTTTCACAAGAAAATATAAGTGGATATCTAAAAGCTGGATGTGAGTTATACCGAGAACTGTTTGTTAAGAACATAATCATATACACGTGCTTTATCACAAACATTGATATTATAGACCCCAATCCTGCCAATCCTTATTCACGTGCTTAATATTAAGCATATGCTTAAGTACTGGCAGGATCGGAGTCTTACTTTGCACTTCCTGTGAAAAAGAAATGTTTGACTATTTTCTTACCTGTTACACATACGCACAAAGAGAACGCACACTAGTTTGAAGGCAATGTGTCATAAATGGAGATATAAAACATACTTGTTCATTGTCCCGTGTGTGTATTCCTTCAGGAATTCTTCCAATATTTTTTTCATTTCCAGTTCTTAACGAGGTCTCAAAAAGGTATTCTTTAACCTTAATCTCTGAAAGCACCTCAGGTCTCCAAAGTAACTGATCTTCATTTTCATACACTGTTAAGAGGCAAATCCATTGAGATACAAATAAGGGTTGTGAGTGTAAGCAAGCATGCACACCTATCCTGTTTTTCATATTGTAGACCAAATATCAGCAGATGTAAATTTATATGGCCCCACTGAATTTATATACATTAGCTTCTGGCACAAATGTTTTAGAACTACGACTTAAGAAATCAGCAGCTTCCCCAAAGATAGAAAACAAGAAAATAGCTAGAGGTAATCAGATCAAACACATTGACAGCACCTTGTCACATGCACAAATACCATATACTTCACTGAAGAGATATGCCTTGCACTGTGCCACAAAGTTAACAGCTTCAGGCTATTTTGGAACAAGGAGGGAAGGGACTGAATTCAAAGGACAAGGACCTGTCACCAAAAAATCTACTGGCCACTAGAGAATTCAAATCAAGAAATTTATGCATATTTACACATGATGAAGTTGGGTGTTTTACAAACTAGTGAATATAGTCACACCTCTGTTTGCTTAGAGTTGCACACAATCATTGAAAACAGTAAAAAAGAATAAACCAATAAATGAGCAGTAAAAAATATGAATTCTAGCACTACATTTATTCCTCACTCAGTTCAAACACTTTCCATGCTGTAAAAAAGCAGGTGACTAAGCAATCACTGTCTTCAAAAAAGCTTGTTGCTATATATTATTAGAAGGGCTGTCTTGACGCTAATATTGGGATTTCTGGCTCAAATAGTCATCAACTACTAGCATAAGGGACATACAAGTTCTGTAATGAGTTTGGGTTGTGCATTTATACATCTTATATCAAATCACATTGGAAAAAATCTAATGTGCAAGTAAGTGGCTTTTATAAATATCTTCTACGTATAACAAAAAACGAGACATGACTTGAACGTTAATCATCATTAGCAGCAAACATTCATTCAAATTTAAATCCCAGTTTGCCTGCTATTAAAATATTTAATGTTACGAACAGACATTTTTGACATTACATTTAACATTTCATACAGTCTGAAAACAATGCAAAATTAGATAAATTATCTGATTCAAGGCAGTCAAAGGAATCAAAGGCTGGTACAGCCCAAGAGAGTGAGGAGGATCTGCACCTCCTAAAATGAGGAGGGATTTAAAAACAAACAAAAAAAACCCTGTCACCTTATAAGATACTTTTGCTGCCCAAGAATAGAAGATGTTTTCACAAACAGTAACATTACAAGACTGAATTTAGAGCTGTCCCAGGGAACACAAAGCCCACGCCACCAGAATCACCACTGCTTTTGTCACTGTTACCAAGGATGTACATTTCATATACTTCTAATTTCTAAAATGAAGTCTTAGGAAACGTCAGGAGTTTTATTAAAAAACAAAAAACCCATAACAAGACTCGTGTAATATTACAGCTGTATAAACCTCTCAGCTGTTCTCTCCTACGCCCTATCCTTAGGCTTTCCAGATGTCATTTTTTCTTTAATAGCCAAACTACTTAGCACTATATTCAACTGTTTTAAGGCGGTCGTATTTCCCGATCATTGTATTTAACTTTAAATTATTAAAAGTGATTCCAGAAAGGATACAGAGGAATAGAGTTATAGACAAATGGCATAATGGAATCTGAAAACAACAAAAGCACCCACAGGCTTGTGTTTGATTAGATTTGCTTTCCGATAAAATTTTACAGGTAGAAAAGGTCATTCAAAACAATTTTGAAAGTATACAGAAAAAAAATGAATACCATCCAGTTATTGATGCACTGGACAATCAGTTCCAAGATTTCCTAATGTATCTGGAAGTGAGGAAGTTTCAGTTTTAATACTTACCTTTTCTGAATCCTACAGCTGTTTCTGCCCCAACTTTCTGGATGGTAATGGTAATCAGATAAAAATCTCATCTAAACTGAATAAATCCACTTTTTTCCTACTGAAACTAATTTTTACCTCAATTTTAGATAGGGACAGAATTATGCAACAAATGGTATAAAAAAAAGCACATTTATAGAATGATCACAGGATTTCTCTCTTTCCAAAACTACTCAGCCAATAAAAGGAAATTATTTAGAACGGAATTTGTTGCTTAATGTTTTCCTGCAGCAGTTTTGTATCCCACAAAGCTATGCCAGTCTAAAGGCAATACAATAATATTCTTTGATTATGGCTGAAGTGCCTGACCTCTCTAAAAGACAAGCAAAGATGCTCTTTCTGAAGGTCACTGAATAATGGATCTCACGATCAATTGCAGTTTGAATTTTCTGTGGGTAACAAGCTCTTCCTGGAGCCATTTTATGGTTCCATCTAGTATTATTATCCTTCCGGTTTAATATTTGATTTTTCTTATTTCTCCTTTTCAATGAGAATTTTATACCCAAAGTTATTCATTGGGATTAAATATTACAATGAGATAATTTAGTTGCGCTGTTTTGTCTATTTTGTCTTGGCTATTATTGTTATAACTTCTGAAGTCAATTTTTTACCTCATGATTTTTAAGTAAACTTTAATATTTTTATTTAAACAAGCAGAAGTAAAACAGAAGAACTTACCCTTTTCGTCATCACTGTACTTGCCCAGGTAAGGTGGTATTTCAGCCTGATACTGTGAACCAACCATTATTTCCTGAAGGTTTAAAACAAAACAAACAGACAAAAATCACACATGCACACACTTTAACTTTACACTCTCAGACATGTGAGCATTAAAAATGTCAATACAAGATGCATTTGATTCCAGGATTAAAGCACTGTCTTAGATACATAAAAAAAGAATCTGAAATAAAAACAAACTGTAAGAAAATTCCACTGAGATTTATTATGCGTAAGTAATTAATACTTCAGTTACCTTCCTCAAATCTTCAGATGAATTACAAGTGTCTGCCTCAACATCTTCACCATCCGATTCCTTATCTCCGTCATACGTAGTGTTTGCTTTATATGCACGCACACACACACACAAAAAAGTGTTACTTAGCATTATTTTACAGTTTGCACATAGAACTACATGACTGCATCTGTTTTACTTTACTTTAAAACTAAACAAGAGCATCTGCTTTCATTTAGAGACAATGGTCAATAGCTCTTAATAATTTGCTTTTCTGTGGAACTGCAGCATAAAAGTTAAACAGTAGAAGGTACTTTCACTGCAACTGATTGTGTTAGAAATGGATAGCTGACTGTCAAAGGAAATAAGATAATTTTCCTATGTTAATTCGTCTCAAAGGCACTGCAAGTATAGGTCTGGGAAACAGCAACAGAAAGATACTAGTACTACAATTTAACCCGGAGTTAACCACAGCAAAGTAATCTGAAAGGCAACCTTTCTCTACATTGTCCATTTTAAATTCTGTTATCCAGCTGTTTCAGGGCCATTTAAAATATTGAGCTAAACATGTATGTATCAATTTGGAAAGAAGTATGAGAGAAGATATGGTAGAGATATAAAATAACAAATAGTAGATTAAAAGAAAGTTGATTGTGTGCTCCTCTTTACCCTTTCCTGTAAACAAGGACAAGAGGGCACTCCAAATAAAAGCCAAATTAATAACCGGGTATTTGTCAAGAAATTAACCCATCATATTTTTTCTGTGATCACAACTCAATGGAAAAGTATCAGATTCTATAGTTGCATCATCAGTAATCTCAACAAAAAAATGATACCCTTAGAACATCCTGCGAAGTGCCAGTGTACCTCAACTTCCAGTAAAATCAATGGTGTCAGCACCTTACAGGATTGCGCCCTAATTTTGTAATTAGGACAATCTTTCTATACATCTATACAGCGCTTAGAATGTTTCAGCACTACTATAGCATTAGTTTTCTTACATCTTAAAGGTCGAGGAAAGAAGTCTGTAGCTTCATGTGAAGTAACTGATGGTGTCAAGTCATCAGCAGAAGACTGTGTTTCTTCATCATCACCTGACAAGAGGTCTTTAGCTATTTCCTCCTGTATCATTAAAGAAAGAAAATCAAAGAATAGGTTGGTAGCCTTTGCACTAGCAAGTTAGAGGTTATATTAGCAAACACATTATCTAACTTTTTACCAAAATTTATTCTATTCTTCTACACTCCCCAAAAACTTAAACACAAAAAAATCAGAATCATATTCCTAAGATTTTTGAAGTATAGAAACCAAAAACAGTGTGAAAGTGTTTTTTACCACTCACTCCAGAGCTGACTCTGAGGTTCTTCATCCTGACCTCATTAAAACCCCGGGGGGGGGGGTGGGGTTGGGAGAGGGGGTTGGGACAGAGAGTTGCCCCAAGTGAAAAAACCCACCGGGGATTGCCCCCAAACCTGAAGCAGCCCAGGGATCTCTGGAGACCCTGTGGCTGTGCATCAACTTGGCCCCTCTGGAGCTTCCCCTAGTCCTAGCATCACAGCTCCACTGGAGCTGCACTACCAGGAACTGATCACTGACCACGTCGTCCCCCAGAACTCTGTGGAAGAATTAATACAGCCCAGACCCATATTTCTTTTTCTGAGGGTTCTCTGCAGGACTGCACAAAGGATTATGTGAATCCTGTTGTCCTGCCCCACTCAGTCTCCTTCTGCTAATAGTGAACAGCAACTTCTACAGAGATTGTAGATGCATCTGAGCCTCCCTTTCCAACTTCTCTGTGTGGAAGAGGAAGAACTGCATATGGATATGCATCAGGTAACAATCCAGACCACGTTTTTTTGTAACCATACGGTAACACTGAAATGTGCATCCTAATGGACTCTAAAGTGCACAGCAGTCAGTTTAAAAGTTCAGGAGAACTGGAAAAACCATCTCCAAGAGTCACAATTTAAAACACTAAAGTTTCAGGTTTTGTACTAATTGCATAATACACCCAGTCTCTGCATATCTGAAAGTTTCTCTCTCACCTGCCACAAATCTAATACTTTTCATATCCAGTTGAAAGAAATGCTCCAAAGTATTCAGGAGCAAGTTTTCAAATTAATTGTGTATCCACAGAAATTTTGATAAGCTGTATATATATATATATATATATATATATATATATATATATATATATATATTTGAAGCCATAAATAATACTCCCCAGCTTCACACACATTACTGAAAGTTCCAAATTTAAACTTTTTAAAAAGTGATATTAAACAAAATAAAACTATAAGTCTTTAACATTACAAATGACTCAAGAACTGGTTCTACTTTCTTTTATGCTCATTTAGCATCAATAACTTTAATGAAATTGTGCCTCATTTACAAGCGTACTGTAAGTAAGTAAAATCAGAGTCAGATTCTCAATGTCCATTAAGAGGACTAGTGTGGATACTTTGCATTCAGACAAATAGGTGTCAATAACTTCTGTATTACCAAGAGAAAGACAAAGATCACGCAGGTTCCTAGTTTTAAACTTAAATACAGATAAAAATGTTTTTGACTTACTTTGTCCAGAGTCATATCTGGCAGTTCATCCGCAAGTTCACTTGGGGAGCTATCTGCACTGGAACCTGCTATAACTGGAATTGTAGGTTCATAGCCATAGAAAGCCAGTAAATCTTCTAAAGGCATGCTTCCTTCCTAATATAAGAAAAGTTATAAATATTTAACATTTTAACATTGTCAAATACTTCATATTGTTGTACAGGCACAAAGGGACAAGATTAATTTTGAAATAGTTTAATAGTGAATTGAAAAGGATTATAACTCTCCAATTCCAAAAAGAAGAATACTGTCTTTTTAGAAAAAAAATTGGGTAAGTATTTCAAATTTTTTGAACACATGGCTGAATTTAGCTCATAATCACATACTGAGGCACATTCAAAATCTGTTTCAAATTTCTCCAAAAATGATTTACTGGATATATATATACACACACACACACAAGAAAAGGCTTAGAAGTAAATATTAACTGAATATAAAAACAGTTTATAAATCACTTGATCCAGTGTAAAGTATGATTAACTAAACTAAAATTTCTTTATGATACCAGATACACCGGACCCTCGCTAGAACGTGGGATTTGGGATCCATGTGCGGTACCGCGTTATAGCAGGGGCCGCATTACCATGGATCCCTATTTAAAATTTGGGATCCATCACCGTACTATATGCGAATCCACACTCTAGCGATGCGCGCTCTAGCGAGGGTCCGCTGTATATTTAAAAATATGAAATAGTGAAGCAGGAAGCAACCATATTATCAACTTAAAGACTGAAAATGTGGCAAGATGTTATAATCACAGCTGCAGCCAGAGAGAAAAAAAGCAGCCAGCAACAGATTTTCACAGGAATTGTTAGTTTTTGCTTCTACCCACCCCCAAAAATACTTTTTATACTGATTTCCCAGTTTTTTTGTTTTGGGGAAGGAAGGAGGAGGAGAAAAAAATAGGGAGACTGACGAAGAAGGTGAGCTGAGGAAGAACTGGGGAGGGCAACTGCATACCAGCAGCTTTTGATAATCTTGTCTTGTTACTTGTCATCAGGCTGTATTTCCTATTGCAATTAACAAAATGGCAATTCCCAGGTATTATTCAGTTGCCTGATTCATATCAATGGAGATATAAAAATATTGTTTTAAAATTCTTGTTGAACTCACATTCTGATTAAGTGATTTTTTTCTTGTAGTCATCTAAGGCCCCAGCAAAGACTTCTCACAGTGAGTACAGTTAAGCACATGCTTAAATCTTTGCAGGATTGTGACCTAAAACAATATATCCTTTAATTTATTGGCACTGATTCTCTCTCTCTTCCAAAATAGCAGCAAATAGGTAATTTTGTGGAGTAATAGTTTACCCAGTGTAGTTTTTAAAACCATGTTATTTCTGATTTACAACTTCATGTATGAAACCTACAACAAAAATTGGTAATTTCTAAAAGAGAGTTGGTGGTATGGAAGCCTACCAATGTGCAGTATTGTCCCACATACAGCAAATACAACCTTGCATTATTAAACATATACAGCCAATTTCAGATCTGGTGGTACCACGTGCATCTCCTTGGAAATCTCTGGATTAGATTTCTGCAGGTATGTGAATGGTGCTATAAGCAGCTCAGCAATCCACAGTACAACTATCATCAATTTGACATTCAGTGGATTTGCAAAATGGGTGACACGCAGACAAGGATGAAGATGGGGTGTAACAGGAAAAGCTACTAACAGAAGAGTGTAAAATAAAGCAGGAGGGGCCAAATTATTTTGCCCATTTACAGAATGGCAAATTGATGCAAGCTAAACTCACTTACACCCATTTTCTGACTCAGAACCACCATTATTTGGCCCATAATACTTAAACAAGGCTATGGAATAAAGCAATTGATGGTAAGAATGAAATCATGGCCATGATAAAATAGTTTATACCGTGCTTTATCAATATTCCGATTTGACATGAAACTAGTCCTCATTAAATACTATTTGTGGTGTATGCTTTTAATACATTTCCCACTTAATAAAAACAAGAACTGAGACAGTGGTATCAGATACTATAAACACAAGACAAACTTGTTCCATGGGTAAGTAATTTCTCTTCCAAAGCAAAAGCACTATTGTCATATTAATTAGAAGGGAAGTACTTTTAATTAACACAGCTCTGAAATCTTTGGAACTGATCAACTGAGTCCTGTTGTAACTTCGAACTGAAGATCCACCCACTTTATCCAATAGCTAAATCTGACTATTTTAAATTGGCTGCAAAGGCATTTACGATTGTTTCAATGGAATTTCCTTAAACAAGATAAATGAAAGAGAAGGTAGAACATCCTTTGTATTTACTAAAGTAAGTACAGTGTAGCTGTATGATTAGGAAAAGAAGGTCAAAAGCCACTCTCCTACCTTTTCTAAATCTTCAATTTCAGAGCTGAAGTTTTTGCCCTCCTCCATCATTTCCTCCTCTTCAAGAGTTCTCTCATCATCATAGTCATGTACTAACATTTCAGCAGTAGGGTCAAAATCATGATCCTCAGAAGATAAAGAGCCAACTACAAGAAAAATAATATGAATCACTTTACCAACATACAAAGCCATACTATAATCAAAATAAGACTGTGTGCATTCTTTTAAATGAAAGGTCAATCCTTACTCTATATCTAGAGAGTAACAAGTTTTCAAGTGGCTTTAACTGGAACTCCATTTTTGTACCTGTAAACTGTAGGTACAATTTTTTGCTCTGCATTTTGAGCCACTTGGAGATCTAAGGAGATTATGTTGAAAGTGAAGCAAATTAGGTCAATTGCAGAAAGTCTAGTCCTATCTACACATTTTACTGTGTATAAGATAAGAACCACGAGATTCTTAAAAAACATGTCCAAAATGAGCATTACAATGTAAAATATAGTTCTGACACAAGGTTTTAGATTTGATGCTGTAACTAGAAGCAGAATGTTGCTTGTGGAGCCTGTTTTTGACCAGAGATGAGCATATCTTTTCACTGTTAGAATAGCCAGCCTAGCTTCAAAGCTGTTCTGATGAATCCACTTTCTTCTAATAGCAAAATAAGAATTGAGCACCTATGTCAGAAGAATTTAGTCCCATGAATGAGATGTTTCATTAAAATTCATTGCATTCTATGTAGTTTATTCAGAATGGAGGAACAAACTCCACTGGAGTTCTAATTCACAAATAAGATACATGAAAGATACAGAACAAGAAACCGAGTACATTCATTTATTAATTTATTTGGAATATAATGTAAGTGGCAACTATCTTGTCCAACAGAAATTGCTACATTATTTAAGTGACTACCTACAGTCTTTTTTATTCTTTTTACAATTCTGTTGCTTTGCATTTTCTAATTTAAATACATTTTTATGACAATATTAGAAAGGATGCCATTAGATTTAAAACATTTTAAAAAATAAGTATTCTACACCACAAGACTACATTCCACATCACAGATTACTGAAACAAAGAACTTTAAAAATTTAACTGTTCACTATTCTATTTACTTATTGCATTCGTTCAGCTAGGGAAGACAGACTAGCTAGTTACACTTTCTTTTCCATTCAGTTTCACTTTCAGGTTCAGGTTCTTTTGCAGTAGCACTATGTTGCAATTTTTAGATCGCAGAAAGTGCCCAGAAATATTTTTGTTAGGAACTGATTTCAAATTTCATTGAAACATTCATATTGGTCCTAGATTTCATAAAGACATACACCTTACTTCTGGGTTCAAAAGCAAAGTCTCATAATACTAATTTTTAAAGATCCTTCCCTTTATTGCTAACCTGAAGATTTTTAAAGCATTTAATTTCTTGTTCACTTTCTAGATTTAAACATCTACTTTCTTTTTCAACATTATTTTCATTATCCAGAAATAAAACAAACACTCAGTTTCATTTTCCAGTTCTCACTAGAACAATATTGTTTGAGTTCACAACACTGCAGGGAAACATTTCAAACCAAAAGTTGTTCCTTTTATATTTTAAAAAAAGCATCCATTAAAACTTGACAATTCGTATTAGTTCTTGTAGAACTCTCAAAATTTACAGAGCCTAAAACTAGTTGATAATATCCTTTTAATTACAATAACTACATTTACATGTTGAATTTTTTAGTTACATTGTTTAGACACTGCTCCCTCCCACAGCTTCTAAAGTAGTATTCAGATACATAATTGTTAAATAATAATTTCAAATATAAAATGCAGTACATTATATATTCTGAAACTACACTTGCCAATTGCTGCACTCTCTTGTTTTACATTTGTTTGTATAACTAAAGTGGGAAGTGTATTCCATTTACAGTCTTTAAACAAAAATATACCATTTACTTAACTAACTTGGAATATTCAATAATGGATCTGACAAAGTATTTTTATTCAGATATGTAAACATTTATTTTAAATTAATAAGTTTAACAAATGTAATTAAAATGCAGCCAATTAAATTATAAAGACTAATTTTTGTTATCAAAGATAAATTACTTTTTGAGCTCATCTGGAGAATGACAACTGTTCATGAACAAAAGCAAAATAAGGTCCCAATCCTAAAAACACTTATGCATGAAATTAATCTTACACATGAACAGTCCTACTGAAGACAGTGGGAATATCTGCATGTGTAAAGTTAAATGTGTATAATTTTTTTCAGGATTGAAGCCTTAGATGGGGGATAAATAAGAATACTTAGTATTAAGGTTAAGACAAAAGAGTAAGTAATAACTGAAAAGTGTTTGAAACTTGTTAATAACAAGTATCAGAATTTTAGGAGCTTGTAGTTAAAGGATATCAGTAAGGTAGTCACTCTCTTAAGTCTACATATTTTTATTAAGAAGTTCACTTCCAAACGTTTAAAAAAACCAAAACAAAACAGGTGACACAAGGATAAATAATTGGGTAATTAGTTGAGACTACAGATTTGGTGAAAGAATTGCTCTAAAGTACACTCCATCTGTTATTCAGCAGTAAACTGGAGACATGGAAATAAAACATTTAAAGTGAACTAACTGGGGGGAGGGGGAACTTCGTAAAGAAGTAGAAAAAGTTTGTGGTGGGTCTTTGACAGAAGCACCTGTAACCCAACCCCTACCAAACGCTACCCAGCTGTTGGGACCATAGAAGGAAATAAACAGGACAAACCTGGGCTCGAACTTCCAAAGGAAGCCTGGAATATAAAGGAGAAAGAGGCAGAGCTGTTAGAGGGATGCGCTGCAAATAGGAATCGGGGAAGGAATCCTACAGCCAGGTTAACAGGTAGATTTCTCAATCATTTCAAGTTCCCTGTCTCCTCGCATCGCTCTCTGCGAAGGAGTCTCTCTGTCCTTCCCCCAGGTTTCTTCTTCCTCCTCCCCGCTATCTCCTGTCTCTCCCCATCCCCCTAGGGTAGACGCCTCATTTCTCCTCCTCAGCGCTTTTCTCCCGTCCCCTCCGTCCTGCCCCTCCATCCCAATCCCCACTGCCCCAGTCTCTCGCTTGCTGTCTCTCCTCCGCCACATCTCCTCTCTCCCCGGCCCGGTCTCCTGCCAGGCCCCGGAGAAGGAGCCCCGTCCAGCCACCCCAGCCCGGCCAGGAGGTGACAGGGAGTGACGGAGGGAGCCGGACCGGCCGCCGCCTCCTCCCCGCACCCCAGCCCGGGTCTCCTTCCACCGGCCAATTCCCCCTGCCCCTCTCGCTAGCCGCTGGGGCCCCTCTGCGCGCCCCGGCCACGGAACCAGCCCGCCCCGGCCGTGCCCGGGGCCTGTCCGCCGCCCCGAGGTTGGGACCCGGCACTCCGCTCCGCAGAGCGAGCGGCCGCGGCCTAGTCGCGCAGGCTCCCGCTGCCCCGGTGCGGACGGCTCAGCCAGCCCCCGTGCCGCCCCCGGAGCCCCGCTGCCGGCCTCCCGTCTCTGGAGGGAGGTTACCGGGCCGGCGGGACCAACGCGAGCGGCCTCCCGGCGGCGGGGCCCCGCAGCGAGCCGGCCGGACCCCAGCGCCCCAGTCCGCTTTCCCCGCTCACCTCCGCCATATTGGGACCGCTCGGGCTGAGCAGTAGCGCTGCGCCAAGTGCCCGGATGGGGCCGCTAAGCCAATGGCAGCCGGAGCCGGAGCTGGAGCCGCAGACGGCCAGGGAGGCTGGCGAGGAGGCGGCGCAGAGCCGAGTCCAGGGCAGCCCCCAGGGGCCTTCCTCCTCCTCCTGTCCTCTCCAGGGTCTGCCCTCACTCCGCCCCAGAGCGTGCTGGGCGCTCCCCACCCCACAACACAGGGAGTGTCTTGGGACCCCCATCCCCAGAGGGTGCTGGGCGCTCCCCATCCCACAGCACAGGAGGCTGTCCTGGGACTCCCCTGCCCCATCCCCAGAGGGTGCCGGGTGCTGCCCACCCCACAGTGCGGGGGCTGCCCGCTGGGACCCCTGCCCCATCCCCAGAGGGCGCTGGTTGCTCCCCACCCCACAACACAGAAGTCCAGACTTCTACCCCAACCCAAGAGTGCATTCCCCATTCCACAATACATGAGCACCTGAGAGGGTGCTGAGCGCTAGCCATCCCACAAGGGGGGCTGCCCAGGGACTCTCCTGAGAGAACACTCTTCACGCCACAATACAGAGGGCTGTCCAGATTCCCCCTACCCCAGTCAGAAAGGACACTTTCCATCCACAATATGCAGGAAAGCTGCCCAGGCACTCCTCTCCCATATGGAGAAGAGAATGGCTCTCCTGTCTTCCACTGTGTGATCCATTGAGAGAGGTCTCCTTTGCACTCTTCCTGGGTAAAGCACAAACACTAATGAGTGCTGCTCAGGGGCATATGCTTGAGGGAACGTTCTCTGTGTATATAAAATCTCCCCACTGTATTTTCCACTACATGCATCCAATGAAGTGAGCTGTAGCTCACGAAAGCTTACGCTCAAATAAATTGGTTAATCTCTCAGGTGCCAGACATAGTCTGTATCCGCAAAAAGAAAAGGAGTAACACGGCTGCAACTCTGAAACCTGGCATATAGGTGAGTGGCAAACACAACCAATTTGGTTGACTTAATGTACCCTCTCTACAAATACACACGTCATACATCATTTGAAAGCTGCTTATGTCTAATTTAAGATGAGATATGATGCAGAGTTGTAAAGTGTTGCCATTACCATAGAAAAAGAGATAATGACACCATCAACATGTTAAAATGACCACTTTCAACTATTTGCATTCCTTTCTATTAATGTAATGACTCATGTATCATTTCAAAACATAAAATAGGGGTTTTTTTCTGACCTCAAAACATCACAACAACAATCTAAAGAGTACAACGAAATAAAATGTATATAGGTGTCATCGCAATGTAATAGTGCTGGTGACATTTTTAGTCAACATCATTATCATCTGCAAATTCCCCATATTCAAAGGCACTGTATACTTTTTCAGGGAGATTTAACATGTCAGTAATGTAGATTGGTATCTACATGGCTTAGTTGGTCACGTTTGTAGTAAAACACAGTGTGCCAGCCTTCCATACTTCATGTGTGTGTATAGCTGAAGTTTCCAATCATCCTCTCACTTTTAGAAGTAGTATCTACATAACCTGGAGAAAATGATCCTAGAACTTGAATGTAGGAGATGGGACATACCCCATATTTGGAGTCCTTGTGGCATCTTAGAGACTAACAAATTTATCTGGGCATAAGCTTTTGTGGGATATAATCCACTGCATCAGATGCATCCAATAAAATAAGCTTATGCCCAAATACATGTGTTAGTCTCTAAGGTGCCACAAGGACTCCTTGTTGTTTTTACTGATACAGACTAACATGGCTACCACTCTGAAACCTACCCCCATATTTGAAATTTCTCCAGTAGTGGCAGCATATGCTGAGTTACAGCATCATCAAGCTCTTTAATGATGTTTGCAAACTCAAACACCTTTTGAGTGTCAGCCGATGTTTGTCAGACAAATGCTGCAACTACCTGAGTACCTCCTCCCTGCTCTGTTCCTGACGGAATTCTGCACCCAAAAAATAAAAATTCTGCACACAATATTTTAAAATTCTGCAAGTTTTATTTGTCAATAAATAAACATGGAAACTCCAACATGGCAATGGGGAATAGAGACTGCATGGAGGTGGGCAATCACCCCGCAGCCTCCCCTCCCTTCTCCGGGGACACAGACTTGGTGGTGAGGCTGCATCTGACCATGACACAGCGCAAGGGCCAGGCCTGCCCCAGATACACTCATAGGCGCCGACTCCATGGGTGCTTCCGGGCTGGAGCACCTACTAGGAAAAATTAGTGGGTGCTTTGCACCCACTGGCAGCCAAGCTCCCTTCCCCGTGCCCCCCCACCTCACCTCCTCCACTGCCTCCAGCTCCTCCCCTGAGCATGCCGCGTTCCCACTCCTCCACCTACCTCCCAGCAGGGGTGGAGTCTGGGCAGGGCCAGGAGCAGAAGGGGGTTGAGCATCCACCGGCACGAGCAGAAGTCGGCACCTATGGATACACCCCGGGGCCCTGCCCCTCCACACCAGATGCACCAGGTGTGGGCCGGCAGGCTTAGCCTGGCAATATCCAACTGTGGAGGAGCTTAGTATGGGGGGAATCCAGGTGTGGGGTGAGAGAGTTCTGTGTGGGGCAATTTGGGTATGAGCGGCTCTCTGGGGCATCCAGGTGTGGGAGGGATCTGGATGCACAGGGGCTCGTTGGGGTGTTTCAGATGCAAGGGCAATGGGACTCTGTAGAGGGGTCCAGGTGAAGGTGGTTGGGGCTCAGCGGGGGAGTTTGGACTTAGCAGGGGGGAGATGGGACTTGGCAAGGGGGTCCGGGTGCTGGGGGAGTGGGGCTTGTGGGGTAGGAGTTTAGATGAAGCTGGTTGGGGCTCAGTGGGATGGGGATCTGGGTATGGGGGGGTGGCTTGTCAGGGTGGTCCAGGTGCAGGGAGTGTGGGGCTCTTTGGGGGTGGGGATTTGAGTGCGGGGGACTCGGTGGGGATGGTCTGAGTATAGAGGTGGGGGACTTGATGTGGGGGGACCTTGGTGGGGGGGTGCAGGGGGGCTCAGGATGCAGGGGGTGAGGCTTGATGGGGTGGGGAGTTTGGGTGCAGGGGTTCATGAAGGGGTTCCAGGTGTAGGGGGTTAAGGCTTGTGGGGGCATCTGGATATGGGGTGAGGTCTGGATGCACAAGGGTTGGGCAGATGGGGGTGCAGCTCTCTGTACAGTGACCCAAAGACAACCCATGCCTGCTGAGAGTGGGGAGGCACAACCCCAGAACAGCTCAAGTTATGCCCCCCCCTTTCAGCCCCTCCCCTCCTGGAAAGCAGCTGCCCTTCCATGCGGCTCCTAGCTGTTCCACTGCCTCTCCTGGAAGAGTTAAAGAGGGGATCCCTCCTGTAGCTCTGCCTCTGTGTCTGGTGCAGCTCCCCGGCTCAGCTGCTTTGCAGGGAGGGGACCAAGCCACACCATGTGACTGAGCAATATGGGGGGGCATGTGACTCCACATGCCCCACACCCATCGATCCCACCCTATACAGCTGTCAATCCATGGTCTGAACCGCATGCTGGGTTCCTAGAGCTGCTGACATTTCCTTGCATTTCAGGATGATAGTATAGACTGTGGCCACGTCAACTGATTTGGCATCCACAATAGATGCATATGCAATTGCTTTGGAGGAGTTCTTAGTTGCAAGCTTGTGGTTGAAATCAACCAAAGTGGTGTGTGGACATCATTTGGTATTGGTAATACCTCATGTTGTAGTAGTCTTAAGACACCAGGGGAGATCTCAAACAGTGTTCATATGTAGGTGGTGATGTTTATTTTCTCAAGTACTTTTTCATGGTGAGTTGGTTCTAGATGTGTTCTAAGTTTTTAAAATGCTGAACACTGAGCAAGAGACTCTGATTGCCTGGGGTGAGTAAATGACCTTTCTTTCCCATGCTTCAGTAATAGTCCACCATCAAAAGAAATATCTTCAGACTTTTCTTGAAATACCACTCTAGCCATTGAATGAAGTGTACTTTTTCCATCAATGGTCTGTACACTGATGTCTATATTATCATTTCCTTCATGGATGGGATTTCCATGAGCTTGAAGTGGTACAATTCTAACTGGAATGAACATTCCTCCCCGGAGTCTTTCTACTTCAGTTTTTGCAGCAATAGTAATGAACCCTCTTAGCTCATCATAATTGATGCAGAATCTATGAAGGTGTGGTATGTCAGTTAAATTGCGAGACCCAAACTCATGGCAAAGGTGTGCAGCAAGGCTTATGTGCAGTAGTGTGATCATTTTGGAACTGTTAAATACTATGCACTCTGCAACTCTGAGGCACCTTCATTGAATGTCTCCTGAAGGATGATACTCACTGCTGGCTGAATTACATGCTTCTTTATCAATTAAAGGACAAACTCCTGCACCAATGGGGCATAAAAATAGCTGACCTTTTTAAACTACAATCACCTGGCTTTGGATAATATTCTGAGGCTTTCGTTTTAGCTATTTCACACAAGGATTGAAGCGGCATTATACAAAAACACTTATTTATTAGAAAGCTGTTCATCAGGCTCATTTGTGAGAAGAAAATCCAGAAAACATTTGGATGACTTAACTTCTTGCTTCAGAAACTAGCAGCTTAGATAGCATCAACTATTTTTATTGCACTGCATAGAGCAAAGGTAGACTTGCTTAGTCCATGCTGTGCATGGAATGAAATTGCAGAACCATAGTGTTTCTGATCTTGCCTGTAATTTACTAATGGAATAGTTTGCAGTTTCTACGTCTGGGGAAGTAGGGCTTTATATCTTTTTCACAGTTTTGACAGAAGAGCCTTCTTGTTGTACATAAGATTCTCTGTCTCTTCAATCAGCTGATAAAATGCAGTATCCTAAGGTGACTGTATTGTTGCAGTGTAACTAGATAGTTTTGGTTTAAGAGATTTGTTTTTTCTCAAGTAGAAAGGCATGTTGAGCGATAAACTGTATCCTTAGCAATCAAGTCTTCCACTAATAGTCTATGCAACATGTCATCATCTGCTCTTTGAAGTGCTATCTCTATTAGATTGGTTGCTTTCTCAAACGTTTCTATTATATGAAGTTTCTTATCTTTCCTGTGTGTTTTTTCTCAAGCAAGCAATGCAACAGGACCAGGATGAGAGGTTGTGCT